TCTTTGAGAGATGAGATGATAATGATATGCATGAATTGTAATTTTGAGCTTCAAAATATATTCAACTAAACTTTGACATTGAACCTTAGTATCTCACCATCCTATCTACCCTTTTCTTCATTTCTTGATCATGATCGTCTAGGCTTGATGAAGATTTGCTGAAAAGCTTGAATGATCTTTGAAGACCGAGTTCTTCTTTATTTTCTTGCACTTTGATGCTTTTTTGAAATCATTGCTTGAGTGTTTGGAATGCTTGAAATGGAACTTCTAGCTCATCATTAAGGGTTGAATGATTGAACAACTATACTTCACTCAATGAAAATATTAGTACATAAACATCATTAAAGGATTGTAATCATCAAAACATAAGATTGACCTTTAGATAGAATCCTTAGGCCAACACTTATGAGCTGCAAAACTTTAGAGAAGTCAAGTGTGACTTAGATGTTTTTAGAATGTTTTATGACCATGAAGCCCATAGGGTAACCAATAAAATCAGGTTGTACATTGTTACACCTATATTGAATAGTGCAGAAAATGAGGATGACTTCATGCAAGGGATTGAAAACTCAGATGAAGTAGGGTGGGAGTATGCACTACATGAAATAGACACAATTGCTCCTGTTCAATCAGATTATGGTCCTGTTGATGATTTGGTCAGTCTATGTGGCTTTGATGATAGTGAAGAAATTGATTCAAGTTTTGTATACAAAGACTTTTATCCTTTAAGGGATCTGGGGGAAAAGGAACTTGAATTAGGTATGAAGTTTGGTTCAGCTGCAGACTTCAGATTGGCACGTAGAGAATTATGTTTGCAGAAGAAGTTTGATATTAAGTTCAAAAAAAAAATGATGGAGATAGGGTAAGTGCAGTGTGTAAGGCTGATTGTGGTTGGAAGATACATGCAAGCAAACCAGATGGTGAAAACTGTTTGGTAGTGAAAACATACGTCTCAGAACATACAAATTGCCTCTGGTTTAATAATAATGGACAAGCCTCATCTTCTTTTTTAGCAACCAAGTACTTAGAACACCTGAGATTGAACCCCAAAATGCCTTTAGATTCACTTAGAACCACTATTGTAGTTGATTTGGACATTAATGTGTCCAAACACAAAATGTATAGGGCAAAGAGAAAAGCATTAGAAATGATTGAGGGGAATGAAGCAGACCAGTATGCAAAAATGAGGGATTACTGTAGTTTGATTCTTAAAACCAATCCTGGCAGTGTTGTTAAGATAGCAACTGATCCCACTCCTATTGAAAATGTTAGGAGATTTCAGAGAGTTTTTATCTGTTATTCTACAATGAAAATAGGTTTCAAAGAAGGTTGTAGGCCACTAATTGGTGTGGATGGTTGCTTCCTTAAGGGACCATATGGTGGCCATCTTTTGAGTGCTATCTCTACAGATGGAAATAACCAAATGTTCCCAGTTGCATATGCAGTAGTGGAGGCTGAGACAAGGGATTCTTGGTAATGGTTTGTGGGAGAACTGATGGATGTTGTAGGGCTTTACTATGGTATCACATTCATATCTGATAGACAAAAGGTTAGTATATTTCATATGTTTGCTTAGTAATTTGTTAATATTTTACAATCTTGGAATTTAATTATGTTTTGTTTAAATTATGGTTATCACTTAGTATGTTTGTTGTTTTGTTTGTAATTCAAGGTTTAGTAGACACATTTTAGAACATCTTGCAAGGGAGTGATCACATGTATTGTGTGAGACACCTGTATGAAAACTTCAAGCTCAGGTTCAATTAGTTACAGCTGAAAATTGAGTTATAGGAGGCTGCAAGGGCATGTACAGAAGCTGATTTTGAACGACATATGAGAAATATTAGGTAGATAAATGTTGAAGCACATGATTGGTTGAGAAATGTCCCACCTCATTTGTGGTCTAAGTCAGCCTTCAATTTTACTTCAAAAAATGATATGGTGATCAATAATATGTGTGAAAGTTGGAACTCAGTTATTCTTAAAGCAAGAGACAAACCAATCATGTACATGCTGGAGTGGATCCGGAGGCATCTCATGCTAAGGTTCCAAGTTAAGAGAGAGTGGATGGAATCACAACCTGGCTTATTATGTCTAGAAATACAGAAGCAATTGAACAAGGTGAAACAAGCAGCTAGAATTTGTAAGGTGCATTACGCTGGTGAGAACAAGTATGAGGTTCAATGCTATGGAATTAGTGAGGCTGTGGACCTTAACCATAGAAAATGTAGCTGTAGGGTTTGGAGTTTGATTGGTATCCCTTGCAAACATGCTGTAGCATGTATATTTAGCAAGAGAGACCAACCTGAAACATATGTTGATCAATTCTATCATAGGGAAACTTACTTGAGGTCATATGCTGGGTTAATCATACCTATTCCTATGAGAAGTTTGATGAAAACATACCCTATTAACCCTTTGCTTCCACCTTACTTTAGAAAACCTACTGGTAGACCAAAGAAGGCTAGAAATAAGAAAAATGATGACCCCAAGAGCTCAACTAAACTTTAGTAGGTCCAAGGAAAGTCTGAAATGCTCAAAGTGTAAGGAGAGTGGTCACAATTCAAGAACTTGTATGTTACCTGAAACATTAGTCATTGAAAAACCTCCACCAAAAAGGGGAGGTAGACAACCAATTCTTGGCAGAGGAAGAGGAAGAGGAAGAGCAAGGGGAGAAGTGGTTGGTATTGGTGATGGTGAAGTGGCAATAAGGGGAAGAGGCAGAGGAAGACTAAGAAGGGGTAGAGGAAGTGAAGTTCCAAGTATGGTACCTTCAAATCAAGAGGTAAAGTTACTTAATAATCATAAAGCATATCTTGAAGTCAATTTTTTTTTTTCTTTTTTCTTGGGATTGCATTTACCTCACTATTGCTATTGACTTTCAATTTTTAGGTTCAAAATATAAGAATGTCCCAGCTAGAATCAACTCAAGCATCATCTTCTAGGTATTGCAATTTTTGTTTTGTTGAAGCGAATAATGATTTTTTATAAATTACAATAAATTCCTATGTATTGACAGGTCAATGATGGATGGTAGTGAGTATGCATGTTGGTAATTCTGATGGTTACAGCTTCTGGTGAATATATATATATATATATATTTTATTTTATTATTATTATTTTTTTATGTTCATGGTTCCCTTGCTGTTGGAGGTGGTTTTTTGGCTGATGTTGATGGTTCCCAGTTGCTGTTGGAGGTTATTTTTTTTGCTGATATTGATGGTTCCCAGTTGCTGTTGGAGGTTCCTTTTTTTGTTGGTGTTGATGGTTCCCAGTTGCTATTGGAGGTTGTTTTTTTTTTTTTTTTTACTGGTGTTGATGGTTCTAAGTTGCTGTAGGAGCTTACTTTTTTTGGCTTTTGTTGATGCTTCCATGTTGCTAAAAATCTTAACAATTTAGAGATGGGATTAGATTAGTATCTATGAAATTAAAGAACTTATTTGTTTCTTTTATATCTGAAAATCTTCAAGTTTCTCTTGTTGCTACTGCTACTATGACTAAAGAACTTATTTATTATTTTGTTCACTGCATCATTATAGTTGTTAAGTGTTGTGTTATGTGATCTTAAGAATTTTATTTAACTCAAGTGGTGCAGCCTATTATTTGGGATGTAATTACATACCTGAATATTACTCTTGCTGATTTTTTTAATAATTTTTGGAGGTTAAAATATTTCTTCTGAAGTGGAGGTTACATTTGTTTGGATTGATTTTTGTGGTGTCCCTTGAGGGAAAGGGCAGTAACTTCCAGGTTTAGGTTTTGAAGTTCAGGTTTAGGTTTTAAAGTTCACGATTTTGTTCAATTTTGGGGAAGTAATTTGAGAGTTTGAAGACAGGTGCAGTCTTGTAAGCAGATTTGTTTGCAGTCAGAATTGTTCTCTCTCTCTCAAGTTTATATTCTGGTTCTTTGCAGTTTGATAGCAGACTTCTTGTTGAGGATTGTTTGTGTTGTGTTGACAGTTTTGTTTGTCTTGATAGAATAGTTGAGGCTTGGAGAAGCTGATGTTTTGGTTTTTTCCTTGGGGTTCTTGAATAGATCAAGTGGAGCAGGGCAGATTGGATTGTTTCTTTTGTTGCTCTTGTATTGTTTGTATATGCTTTGTTTCTCTTAAGGTTATGTCGTTTTTTTGATTTATATTGGAGTTTATTCTCCTATTATAATTGTACTCTTTGAAAAATTTTATAAAAAAATCCCATTTAGACTGGTAAAAGACTTTGTGCAATGGATTCTACCTTTATCATGTTTAATGAGTGTGGGTTTATGATACCCAAACAAGTACATGAGAAAATATATATCTGATATTTAGCTTGTAGAATCGATGCACTTTTTATGCTTCAGTTATCTGATTTGTGATGTTATTTGGGTTTTGTACACAGGTAGATTTTAGGCTATTTGATTTGATTTTAGAAATGCTTTTTTCTAAAACCTATATGTAGGTTTGTGTGCAAGAACTATGGGAAATGTTAGAGCATTCCCTTCTCTATCTCTCTTCTTCTTCTTTTTTTTTTTTTTTTTTTTTTTTTTTTAAACTATGAAACAAGAAGTATCTTGTTTATAACTATGGAACTATTTCAGAAAGCAGATTTTTGTAGTGATCTTTTTCATGCCATTCTCCTAATAACTTTTTGTAGAATTAAAATAGTTCTTAAAGAAGTTCTTTCAAATCTCATTGGAACTAATAGAACAGCTGTGGTGGGAATCTTTTGCCTAAATATACATAACAGATTTTTAGTAAAAACTATTTCATTTTAGCAAGAGTGTTGACGCCATTCATTTCTCAAATTAGGTCCAAGTAAAAATGGGTCTGTCTAATTATCCTACTCTAGCTGAAGAGGGAGTGCTAATTGTAATCCTGGTAAACACGGCCTTATCAATTTCCATTGTCAAAGACATAGTCCTTCATGTCATTGTATTGGGAAACAATTTGTCCATTCATTCTCTTATTTAATTATTTTGTCCATTCCATAAACAGAACAAAAGGGAAGCAATTTGTAGCCATATACATCAAAGGAAATTAATCATCAAAATATTACAAGAACTTGAAGACCCTGAACAAAAGTTACAACACAACCCAGCTCCCAAAATAGACCCTTCAATACACAACCTTAACTTCCACAACACCATCTTCAACACACAAGCTGAACTCTCAAAACAGAAAATTCACTTTAACAAAAGGGAAGCAATTAGAATTACAACTGATAACCCAAACAAATACAAGCTTGCAACAAACATTAACTTGGCAATTGAATTGATGTCAGTCATAGGTGCTAGATGAGGAACTGGATGTGCTTTATCTTCATTTGCTGTAGTAGTTATTGGATTATTCCACCATACAAAAAAATTACAGATTTCATCTTTGCACTTGATTGTTTTTGACTCAGAAATGAATATGCCTGCCCTTTGGTCACAAAAACATTTTCTGTTCCAAAAGGGACCCCTTCGATGGGAAGTACGGGTCGATGATACAAAACTCATTCTCTGCAAATAACATCACATAAATATAAAAATCATGCCTCAATACATATATATATATATATATATATATATATATATATATAATCACAAACACACACAAACACACATATATACATAGACACACAGACACACACACAATATATATATATACTGAACATTCATAGCCCAAGCAATTTCTGGATTTTTTCGAAGACAAAGGCCACACATAAACTTTCATAGAAATAAAGAGATGAATACAAACCCTTACCAAGAACCTAATCAGTGTTTCCAAAGATGAGGCCAGACATGAAGCTTGACTGATTTTGGGAACAGAGGTTCAGGGCAAGCAAATTTCTTGATTTCGAAGACGAAGGCCACCGCCACAGATGAACATTCAAAGAAATAAAGAGATAAATATAAACCTTTACCAAGAACTTGATCGATGTTTCCAAAGACGAAGGCCACAGATGAAGCTTAACTGATTTTGGGAAGAAAGGTTCTATCAATCTAGGGCAAGCAAATTTCTTGATTTTTATTAGAAGGCTGTGTTTGGTTATAACGTTATACGCTGATATAGGCTGACATATGACCGTTTGGTTATAACGGTAACAAGTAAGGGCATTTTTGTCCTTTTATGTGAATAAGGGTTTTCTGGTCTTTTATTTTACAAATCTACATCACGTGATGACATATGCCATTTTTTACGGTCAAAGTTGCCGGATTCCTGCTGGATGGACTCATCTGTAACAAATTGAATACTTCAAGGGGTTAGTTGCAATTTTTGTAGTTTAGGGGGGTTAGTTGCAGATATGTCAATAGCTTAGGGGTTTTTTTTTTTTTTTTTTTGCATTTAACCCTAAGAAAAATGATTTTTACACCAAATATATAGTTGCAGTGAATTGTTAGGCGTATTCTTTTAATTGGTCAATTATGCAACAAATAAGAAAGTGAAGCCATCCAGTTAGTTGTATTTGGTATAAATAGCCAATTAAAAATTATTCAGTTAAGCAATTTACTCCAAATGTTCGATCGGTTTGAGTATACTACTCTATATCAGAATATATATAACTTTAGAAAGAAAAAAAAAATGACTTGCATATATTTTTTTTCTTAACCCAAAAAAAGGCCTTGTGCTATATCTCATCATGGTTCCGTAAACAAAGTTTAGGGTTTTTATCACAAGGGTCACAGGATGATTCTAAAGAGCAAAGAAATTCAAAGAACAAAGGAGAAGGAGATCTTGAAGATTCAACCTCTACGCATCTTCATTTTTCAAGATTGGAAGTAGGGATTGAACATAATCTCTAGAGGTATAAGGATTTAAAATCCTTATAAATATATATAGTACTCATTATATATATTCACATATAAAGTTGTCTATGCATACAAACAAGTTCTAGATCAGTTTCAAGCTTTGGAAAGTTTTCACCACAAACCCTTGGTAGACATTTGAGGTCCCTCACAACAAATAGGAATGAAAAAGATTATCGGTATATATTGATGGATATCAGCACTACCTAATAATTTAATTTTTTGATCAGAACGTTAGACTGTCTAATCCATTACAATCGTATCAGGACCAATTTTGATTCTTGATCTAGTGTCACACCTAAATAAACTTTGGCATTAAATTTTGAAGGGCTGAATTCATATTACTAACCTCTGTCAAGTATCATCATGATAAATATACCAGGATTAAAAAGTAGAAAACTCATTCATGCTTAGAAATAAGGTGGTGTAACCTCTATTCTTCTTTCTTTATATATATATATATATATATATATTTTTTTTTTCGTTCAAATAGTAGTGTAAGTTTTCCCTTTATATAAATTTTTGCACTTATTTTGTTCTCAATAATCAATATTGAGAGCTCAGATGGCATGACATCTCCCTTTGGGAGTTCAAGGTCGATGGGAGCAATATTATGGGTATGTACGCATTTACTTGAATTTCTAAAAATAATAATAATAAGGGTTAAGTGCAAAAAACACACTCGTTATATAAAAAATGTGCAAGAAACACCCTTACTAGAAAAAAAGTGCATATAACTCCCTATATTATCAACATTTGGAGCAAATTACCCCGACTAATTTTGACAAAAAATACTCTTAAAACCCCAAAATACCCTTTTTAAAAGACCGTAATACCCCTCACAGAGTTGTACATGTTTGGATGCCTTTATGTTTTACAATTACTATTTTTTCTCTCAACAACATTTACACATTCTCTCTCATTATATTTATTTCTCTCTTTACAAATCTCTCTCCGTTCTCTCTTTATTATTTTCTCACTTATATATATATATTAGAGAATTTGAACAATAAGAAGTTCTGAAGGACTGGAAGGATCATTAATCAGAACCCAAAAATCACAACAAAACGCATCGGTAGCTTCCAATTACAAGAGAATTTGAACAATAAGGAGTTCCTAAGGACAAGAAGGATTATTAATCAAAACCCAAAAATCTCAACAAAATGTGTGGGTAGCTTCCAATATTATATATATATATATATATATATATATATATATATGTATTTTGTATGTATTTTTATATGAAGGCAAGAACCTATTTGGAATCGATAACTTGCTTGGCAATTTCGCGAGTGGAGTTTAAAGGTAGCGACGAGGGTATGGACAAATCACATATGGTGGTGTGTTGGCATGGTCGCCATTTGGGTCATATTCGAATAGGACCCATATGGTGGTGGGTTATCGCTGATGTGGGTTTTGGAGGTAGCGTTATTTTGGTGGGTTTTGTCATCATTGATAGTGTTGAGAGAGACCTTGATGATCTTGCTTTGGCGGAAGGGGATGGTGGTGGTTAGTTCGCCTATCGTGCAGGCGGTGGCAGCGTTGTTCGTTATGGGTCTGAAATTGAGACTCAATTTATGTTTGTATTCAGTTTACTCATTTTTTGTTTTGTATATGTGGTTTATTTTAAGTAGTACTTGATTTGGAGAGAGAGAGTAGTGGTCCAAGTAAAGAAACAGGGGACTGTGGAGAGTGGTGGTACTCCAGTTAAGGGAGATGAAGACACACAATGTAAATTGTGTAATATAAGATGTATATAAAATATAAAATTAGTTATATATGTGTAATAATTGTGATTAAATTACTAATGTTTCAGTTATGTAAAATTAGTAACCATTGTTATGGTGGTGGTGGTTCACTGGAATTTCTAGTCGGAGAGGATGGTGTGGAGAAATTTTGAAGATTCAAGTCTGAAGATGAATATGGTGGTGACGAGTTTAAAAAAAAAAAGTCAATTGCAATTTGGAGTGATGAATGTTCTTTTTGGACATTTTACTTTTTTATTGATTTTAATTTTAACTTTTTTATTTTGTTGTAAGGGTATTTTAGATATTTTAAACACTAAATCGATAGACTGTCTTTATTTGCTCAAAATGAAAAATGTAAGGGTGTTTTTTAAACTACAGGGGCCTATTTGTACATTTTGTATATAGTAAGGGTTTTTTTTGCACTTAACCCTAATAATAATAATAATGGGAAGGTAAGTGTAATAAACTCTAATTAGTGGGAAGGTAAGTGTAATTTATTCCTAATTTTTTAAACTATTTTCATAATAAGAAAATCAATTTTAAAATTTCCGTAAAGAATGGAAAGTAAAGAAGTTAAGCCAGCAAAGTTCCTATGAGCTAATATGGGCCCAATTTTTTCCATCTGAATTCTTAGTGAGTTGGTGAATAAATACGTTGGGCCAATTAGGCAAATGATGATGGACCATGATTTGAAGACATTCTTTACTCTCTAACCTACTTTCTAAGAACTCTATGCTGAATGAATAATCAATCTGTTCAAAATTCAATCATCACTATAGTTCCTTCAAGGACTTGACTAAATATGAATTATGTGCCCTTTAAGCCAATAAATGTGATGTAATTGGCATTTATTATTAGAATCTGTCTTTATTAAATGCTCTATATATATGGTGAATGTTATATATGATCCCTTGTGGATCTTGGGTGTTCCTTTGATTGTACATGGGAATAATGGGATTTATATGTGTGATGGGTGTTCATGCACAGGGACACCGAAAATGTATTATAAAATGTTTACATTTGAAGAAAGAGGGTGGACTCTCTCTGTCTGAAAAGAATGGAACTGGATCAACAATAAGTTGAGGCGATTGGAAGAGCCGTCGTACTAATTGCTCCTTGTCAGTGTTATGGCAAAAGTGGATGAACATTTGTATTAATTAGTAGTTGTTTTGATATATTCGGTGGGCCTTAGGGTTTAACAATTGGTACTTTTTTTTTTTTTTTAAGCACATGTATCGACCCCACAACACACGCACCATTCAAGTCAGGAGTGCAGTTCGAAAGCGAGACCTCAAGGACTTAATATTTGGTACTTTGGATTGCTATTAATTAGTTGATAGCATTGGGACATGCTCTCAAGAGTTGTATCTGCGATATATTATTTGTTTTGACTTAATTAGTTTGATCACGGAAATTCTAGGGCCTCAGTGATTTGAGAAAATGAGTTTCGATATATATATATATATATATATAATATTTTGTCAAAATAATATTTTACATGATTAAATAGAAAATAATCAAGAAGTAAAAATAAATGAATTAATTAAAGTGGTTGAATTGATGACATTTATTTATCCGATTGCTGATTAAACATAAATGCGCATTATACAAATTGACTTACCGATTAATCATTTTTTAAATGTAGTTTAACTATTGTAATTTAGCGAAATTAAGATTAGTTAATGGGGGACTAATTGAATTGGGTCAATAGTGATTAACTGGGTCAATTATTAACCTATTAGAATTATGAAGAAAACGAGCTCAATAGATCTCATTCCTAACCCAAATGTTTTAAGTTAGAGAATGCAAATAGCAAATTTTTTTATTAGAGAAGACTTGGGGCACTCCAAGAATATATTATAAAGTACACTTATCCACTCTCTGGTTTTTTTTATTTTTGAAAATTCAAAAATTCAAAAAGGAGATATAATGATCTTATATGATATATCAGAATGTATGTAACTTGAGAAAAGAAAAATGACACTTGGGTATATTTTTCTCTTAACCTTGAAAAGGTCTTTAATTTGCTATATCTCACCATAGTTCCCACTGTTGGGATTTATATGTCCTGGCATAGCAAATTCTTATTTGGATTATAGTGACATATGTTTTTGATATATCTGAAATATTTATGATTTATATAATTGGTGACTTCAATGTATTATGCTTCGATTCATTATAGAATTGATAGTGTCCACTTGATTTTAAGAGATATTTATATATGTCTGTGATGACGATCAATACATGAATATAAATAGTAATCATAAATTGTTCATAGTCGGTAATTATGGATGGACTCATTATTAACTAAGACTTGAACTGGATCCGCGTTAGGTTGAGATATATTGCGAGAGCCATCGTATGCAATTACTCCCTATCACCGTCATGACATTTGACTTTTAAGTATGAGAGAAGTATAAACTCTTTTATTAATTAGTAATTACTTTGATTTGTTCGGCGGAATCTTCAGAATCCTTAAACTGGCACTTTGGGTAATTATGTAATTAATAGTTAGAAGGTTATATTTTCAATATTTGCATCACTGCTACTTGTATTTATTTTGTATTGATTATGGTTGATCACAAAGTAAATTCGAAGGCCTTCGTGTGTTTTTAGACAGAATGATTTATTATATATTTATTTAGTTAAATTATTATTTTTGTCAAACAAATGTTTTATTGTGATCAAGCCGAAAATAATCAAAGGTATCAAATAAATATATTAATTAAGTAGTCGGATTGATGGCTTTATTTATCCGATAACTAATTATGCATAGAGGGGTCAAAGTGCAACATTAACTTAGAGGTTATTTATTATTTAATTGGAGTTCAATTAATTTCTTTTAGTAGAGTATAAATTAATTTATGAATTAATTGAATTGGGTTCATGGATCGGACCAATTATTAATTCATTATAGCTAAGAAAATAATAAGCTCAAAGGATTCTCACCAATAGCCCAACTT